AAGCTCTCACAGGTAATGTGTTTGCCGGCTTTTCTGCTCGGGTGTTTGAACGACGTGGCTTTTGACGAATCCCACGTTCGTTGGAGAATCCGCGCATTTCTATTTCACGGCGCTTTCCGGGGCGCGTCAAATGTGGCCGCGCGCGAAGACGCGCGAACAGATTGCGCGAGCTTCTGCATTGGCGGCGCGCCGCGGCGAAGGAGGACGCAGCTGATGACTACTCGCATCGATCTCGATCGTGTAGTTCGCCAGCGCACTTCTCGCAACGGTAGACGCTGCCGCGCACTCCGCGCTCATCAGACCCTGGAGAGAGAGGATGGCAATGGGATCTTCTGGACAGAAACTTTGGAGCTCTGCCCTTCAAAATTGTGCTCTCGAGTGTCGGCAGCAGCGGGTGCTAGCAAAGTCTCGCTGTTCTTCAATAACACGTCAAAGTTGCCGGTGTGACCCTCCCGGCCCAACCCGGATTACAAGTTTGAGAATGATCTTGATTCGGTTGTTGGCTCCCCCGCGCGGGCGGCTTCGAGGTGGCGGTTTGTCTCCTCCAGCGCCGCCCAGGCGCAAAACGTTTTGATTCGCGCGACCTTGAGGAAAACTGACGAGTTGCCCAGGGAGCTGGTTTGAGGGATCTCGTCGTTTGAGGGCCGCGGGAGCTCGCGATGGAGAGCGCGGCGTCGGTGATCTTAGTCTCCTGAGGTTTATGCCTTTCCTCGGTAGTCTCGGGGGTCGGGGAGTTCCAAACCATTGGAAGATAGCCAGTTCCAGCGCTTTGCTCTTCTGGAGATTGAATGGGATGATGCGACCTCCTGTTTCCACTCGTAGCTGCGTGGCCCCGCCCGCCGCGCCCGTTTCAGCAGATCTTGATTCGGTTGCTGGCTCGCCTGCGCGGGTGGCTTCGAGGCCGCGGTTTTTCTCCTGCCGCGCCGCCCAGGCGCAAAACGTTTTGATTCGGGCGACCTTGAGGAACATTGACGAGTTGCCCAGGGAGCTGGTTTGAGGGATCTCGTCGTTTGAGGGCCGCGGGAGCTCGCGATGGAGAACGCGGCGTCGGTGATCTTAGTCTCCTGAGGCTTGTGCCACTCCGCGGTAGTCTTGGGGGTCGGTGGAGTTCCGAGCCATTAGAAGACAAGCGCGGTCACGCCCCGGAGATTTCCCCAATCATCGACAGGGTTACTGGTGCAATCTGGCGTTTGGCCGGATGCACTGAGATCCGGCACCTCAAGTTGACGAAAGGTTTGCCAGGCCATCTCAGCCCGAGGGGGCGCTCCGGCTCGAAGCCAGTCAGGCATCGAGGCGACGAGTTTCGATTGCATGGGTTAATTGTCGTTGCTTTTGTTTCGTCTTGCCGAAACTAAATACTCCAGAGCGAGCAAGTGCGATGAATGACATGAACTGCAACTTCATGTTAAGGTTAGCTGCTGGCTGTATCGGCATTTTCGCTTTGCCACTTTTCTCAACATTGGCACTCGTTTTTTTGTATATATATATATACATACATATATATATATATATAAATATAGAGAGAGATTAACCCTGGCATGCAAACCGATCAGAATTATGCCAGTGCGACCCTACCTAGAAGTTGGAGCCCCTAGGAAAGCAGCATTAGTAGCAACGGTAAAGCTAAGCGAAAGCTAAGCTACAGCTAAAATAAAGATAAGCTAAAGCTAATCTAAAGCTAAGCTAAAGCTAAGCTAACGCTAAGCTAACGCTAAGCTAAAGCTAAGCTAAAGCTAAGATAAAGCTAAGCTACAGCTAAGCTACAGCTAAGCTAAATCTAAGCTACAGCTAAATTAAAACTAAGCTAACGCTAAACTAAAACTGAGGGAAAGCTAAACTAAAGCTAAGCTAAAGTTAAACTATGCTATGCTGCGCTATGATTTGCTATGCTTGGCTATGTTATGATATGAGATGCTGCGCTATGCTATGCTATGCAATGCGATGCTATATTATGCTATGCTATGATATGTTGCGCTGTGCTATGCTAATCTATGATATGATAAGATATGCTAAGCTATGCTATGCAATACTGTGCTATGTTGTGCTATGATGTGCTATGTTATGCCATGCTTTGCTACGCTAAGCTAAGCTACATTAGGCTAAGCTAAGCTCAGCTAAGCCAAGCTAATGTAAGTCAAGCTAAGCTAAGCTAATCTAAGCTAAGCCGAGCTAAGCTAAGCCAAGCTAAGCTAGGACGAGATAAGCTAAGCCAAGCTAAGGGGGCGCTATGCTAAGTTATGCTAAGATTTATTGTGCTATGTTATGCTGTGCTATGCTATGCTACGCTAAGCTAAGCTACGTTAGGCTAAGCTGAGCTAGGCTAAGCTAAGCTAGGGTAAGCCAAGCTAAGCTAAGCCAAGCTAAGCTAAGCCAAGCTAAGCTAAGGCGAGATAAGCTAAGCCAAGCTAAGGGGGCGCGACTGGGGGAACCGCGGGGCGGGGACTGGGGGAACCGCCCGGGGCGCGTTCCACTGCCCGGCCCCTTTAAGCTAAGAGAGTAAGAACCCTCTCGGCAGAGCCTAGGTAGGGAAATACGTCAGGAAAATTAGCCTGGCGAAGGACCCAACCAGATGCAGCTGCGAGTACCGCGCGGATATGAGACGAAGGATGGGGGCACGCAAACTAGGCCCCTCTTCTCATAGGCGCCGCGCCACTGGGGCCTTCGGTGGAGCTCCCTATGGGGCCACGAAACGTGTGAAGGGGTGTGCCGAAATGACTGCGGGGAGGCATGCGAACGCAGCCACTGGGGCCTTCGGTGGAGCTCCCTATGGGGCCACGAAGCGTGTGAGGGGTGTGCCGAAATGGGTGGTGGGGAGCCACTGGGGCCTTCGGTGGAGCTCCCTATGGGGCCACGAAACGTATGAGGGGTGTGCCGAAATGGGTGGTGGGGAGGCATGCGAACGCAGCCACTGGGGTCTTCGGTGGAGCTCCCTATGGGGCCACGAAGCCACTGCGGGCCTTCGGTGGAGCTCCCTATGGGGCCACGAAACGTGTGAGGGGTGTGCCGAAATGGGTGGTGGGGAGGCATGCGAACGCAGCCACTGGGGCCTTCGGTGGAGCTCCCTATGGGGCCACGAAACGTGTGAGGGGTGTGCCGAAATGGGTGGTGGGGAGGCATGCGAACGGCAGCCACTGGGGCCTTCGGTGGAGCTCCCTATGGGGCCACGAAACGTGTGAGGGGTGTGCCGAAATGGGTGTGGGGAGGCATGCGAACGCAGCCACTGGGGCCTTCGGTGGAGCTCCCTATGGGGCCACGAAACGTGTGAGGGGTGTGCCGAAATGGGTGGTGGGGAGGCATGCGAACGCAGCCACTGGGGCCTTCGGTGGAGCTCCCTATGGGGCCACGAAACGTGTGAGGGGTGTGCCGAAATGGGTGGTGGGGAGGCATGCGAACGCAGCCACTGGGGCCTTCGGTGGAGCTCCCTATGGGGCCACGAAACGTGTGAGGGGTGTGCCTGGGTGGTGCATGCGAAGCCACTGGGGCCTTCAATTGTGACGAAATGGGTGGGGGAGGCATGCGAACGCAGCCACTGGGGCCTTCGGTGGAGCTCCCTATGGGGCCACGAACGTGTGAGGGGTGTGCCGAAATGGGTGGTGGGGAGGCATGCGAACGCAGCCACTGGGGCCTTCGGTGGAGCTCCCTATGGGGCCACGAAACGTGTGAGGGGTGTGCCGAAATTGGTGGTGGGGAGGCATGCGAACGCAGCCACTGGGGCCTTCGGTGGAGCTGCCTATGGGGCCACGAAACGTGTGAGGGGTGTGCCGAAATTGGTGGTGGGGAGGCATGCGAACGCAGGAGGGAGGAGGGCGAGGAGAAAGAGGAGGAGGAGGAGGAGGAGGAGAAGGAGGAACGCGGGGACCGTCTCTTCAAAACGAGGACCCAACACCACAGGATGGTTGGGAAAAACATATCATGGCGAAGGTCCCAACCATACGCAGTCGTGTGTACAGTAATTGTGAATATCTGCTTCGGTGAAGTTCCTTATGGGGCCACGAAGGGCTGCACTGGGCGGGGGGCAGCGCTGTACTGTGTGGGTGGTGGGCCAGATTGGGTTTCCGGGACGCACGCGGACGGTCCCACTGAGGGCTTCGGTGGAGCTCCCTATGGGGCCACGAAGCGTTCTACTGAGTGAGTGAAAATGCCAACTTGGGTTACCGGGACGCATGCGGACGGTCCCATTGGAAGTTTCGGTGGAGCCCCCTATGGGGCCACGAAGCGCTGCACTGCGCGGGTGATAATACCAAATTTCATTTCCCGTGCGCATGCGGACGGTGGCACTGGGGCCTTGGGTGGAGCCCCGTACGGGCCACGAAGCGTTGCACTGGGTGGGTGCAAATGTCAAGTTGGGCTTCCGGGACGCATGCGGACGGGGGCACTGGGGCCTTCGGTGGAGTTCTTAATTGGGCCACGAAGCGCTGTATTGGGTGGGTGAAACGCAGGGAGGAGGGGGAGCAGGGCCACGAAACGCTGTACTGGGCGTGCGGGACGCATGCGGACGGTAGCGCTGGGACCTTCGGTGGGGCTCTTTGTGGGGCCACGAAACGCTGTAGTGGGTGTGCGGGACGCATGCGGACGGTAGGGAGGAGGGGGGGGGGGCACGAGAGGAGGAGAACGCGGGGACCGTCTCTTCAAAACGAGGACCCAACACCACAGGATGGTTGGGAAAAAAGACAAGTGGCCTCGGTCGCCCTGGCATGCGATGAAGCATTTCACTTGCAGGTATCTGTGTACCGAATGTGGTGGCGCGTTGCCCTTCCCATCCCAACCCTGCCGCCCCGCCCTCCCCTTTGGCCGGCACCCCGCCGCTTCGTCCCATTTGAAACATGAATTTTCAGCTCGTGCTGCTTGCCCATTTCAATCTCCGATCGCCAGACCTCCAACGCCTTGAAGAATTAAAACTAAGGTTTTCCTCAAAGATCTGCCTCGGTGGCTGCTTTCTGACCCCAGGAACTTCAGTCGCGTATTTTTACATCAGCGGTCTGGTCTGGGCCCTCGCTCAGGATGTCGACGTGGTGATCTGCGTTGGGATCCTCCTGAAGGGCGGTACCATACACATGGAGGTTTTTCTGCGCAGTTCTTCTGGGGCTAGAGGGAGCGGCGATGGAGGGCGGAAGGCTCGATGATCTTCAGGACGTGTGTTAGCCCAATGTGTTTTTACCCCGTTCAGCCCCACTGAAAGCACGCAGCTTGTGCCGGCTCTCAGTATGCTGCTTGCGTCGTGCTGAATGGCTCCAGTGTGCAGGCACACGTTGGCGCTCTCGCGCGTTTCGAGGATCATCGAACGACGGATGCGGAGAAGATTGCGGCAATTACAGGGGCGGGGCAATATCGGGAGCAAGTCGAGAGAACGGTGGGCAGGAAGGAGAGGAGGCTGCAGCGCGGGCTGAATCCTGGAGGAGATGCCAGTGACGAAATGTTCAATCGGGAGAGGGGTGGTAGAAGGATGGAGGGCGTGGGCGGACGGGGCTCGGTAATCCTCGATCTACCTGGCCGGCGTGTTCGTTGCTGATAGACTCGGCGATTCCCACTGCGCCCACCGATGTGGTGGTCCCCCTTGCCCCCTGTCGCTCCCGCCTCTTGTGGAGGAAGCGGGGCTGTCAAGGTTGTCGATGGCATTCGGGGAAGGAACGCTCGACTGCATCTGCTGAGCCTTTGCGCAGCCATCTCCCGTGCCCGCGAAGGACCTCGTCCCTACGCCCAGACGGCAAGAACGGTGCAACTATTCTTGCTTCCAGGGCCCCCCCCAGGCTGCTACGAAACGCTCCAGAACGTCCACAAACTCATCGATCCTCCTCCTCCTTCCTCGATCGTCCTCGACGGTTGCTTCCATTTTGCCGCTAGTTGTAGCCAAATTGTTTGTCATCGTGCGTACTTCATCACATGGTCGGCGCACGAGTTCCAGTCAGCCACGGTGCTAGCATTGCCCTTACGGAGCTCCCTCCTTTTGTTCCGCCAGGAGGGGTCTCTGGTTTTTCAAGTGCGGTCATCATTGAGGGATGAGGTCCACGCTTGCTTTGAAAGGGTCTTGATGCTCTTCAGGTTTTTCAACGGGTCTTACCCATGGCGTTTCTCTTGCATCGGGGCGAAATTCAGGTCTCAGGCAACTACATTCCTGATCCAATGCCCCCTGAGGAAAATACATGTTTGTATGGTGTGATATGACAAATTGTGTTTGGCCACGGTCGCGTGTAGGAACCTCTACGATAGGGTTCTCTCTTTCCAGTGCGGTTGCGCACATGCTTGATTCGCAATGGAGCTGTTAAGATTGTAGTTGACGTCGATTCGAGAAACGACAGACCAGATCTGATTCCAGAATGTCAACGACTCACCACGTGCGGAGGTAACCGAGCTCCCCATGTCTCCGTCTATTGTTTTTTGTATCTAACCATCATGTCGTGATAGGTCTTCGTTTGACAGAGAGAGGGCCACGCGTGACTCCCATTCCTCCTGCCCCCCCCATCCCTGCCTCGGCCGACCGCATGTCCATTCCGGCACACCCTCAAACGTTCGCGGCCCATAGGGAGGTCCGCCTAAGGCCCCAGAGGCATCGTCCACATGGTGGCGTCACATCCGTTTCCGTACACCCCTTAGACGTTTCGTGGCTTATCGGGAGCTCCACCTAAGGCCCCAGAGGCACCGTTCACTTGGTGGCATCACACCCGTTTCGGTACACCCTTTAGACGTTTCGTGGCCCCACATGTAGCTCCACCGAAGGCCCCAGAGGCACCGTCCACATGGTGGCAAATTATTACACTCGTTTCGGCACCGTGCTTACACATGCCGTGGCACCATGGGGAGCTCTACCGAAGGCGCCACAGGCACCGTCCAAATGGTGGCGGCATTCCCGTTTCGGCACACCTCTCAAAACGTTTTATGGCCTCATCGGGAGCTCCACCGAAGGCCCCGGAGGCACCGTTCACACGGTGGTATCACACCCGTTTCGGCACCTTGCTCACACATGTCGTGGCCCCACAGGGAGCTCCACCGAAGGCCCCAGAGGCAGACGTCACACCCGTTTCGGCACACCCATCACACGGTTCGTGTGCTCATCAAGAGTTCTTTTCGATGGTCCCAGAGGCACCGTCCACATGGTGGTGTCACACCCGTTTCGTCACACCATTCGGCACCCCTTCCGCCACGCGTTGGTGGCGCCACGCGCGTGGAGCCGTATTCACAACCGAAGGCCCCAGTGGCATTGTTCGCATACGGCTCCCCTCCCCTCCACGTCGGCACACTCCTCAGAAATTTCGTGGCCCTAAAGGGAGTTCCACCGAATACGCTACCCACAACCGCGGTACTCACAACTGCATATGGTTGGGTTCTTTGCCTGTATAATTGGAGATGACCTTGACCCCCTCCTGGAGCTCTTCCGCTGCTGCCTTCCATCCTCTATTCGCCAGTGCATGCTCGAGCCTCTTGATGGTGTTTCGCCGTTGTTGGTTTCCAGCTAGGAATGGCCACCAGGATCCGCGTTCGGACACATATTGTGTGTTTAGGATTGTTTTCCAGGTCATCGCCGACGCCGTAACTAACCAGCTCATGGGCCTCCAGATGGAGCATAGCACCCCTGTAATCTTTGGCGTGCTGACTGTGATGGCCATTGAGCAGGAGGGGCGCGGTTGTGGCACGGCAGGGCAGGACGAGGAGGAAGAGGAGGATGCAACAGGGGAAGAGCGCGGGCAGGGCAGGATGACGTGAACGGGAAGGAGGAGGAGGATGAGGAGGAGGAGAAACATTATGACGGTGGGGAGCAGGACAGGAGGAACATAGACGCGACAAGGGCAGTGCGGTTCAGATGGCAGCCATGGCGGAAAGTTGGTACGCTGTGGCGATGCCCCCGTTGTTACGGCATGAGCAGCGTGCGGTGGTGGAGGATTGGGGAAGGAGCAAGGTGGGGCAAAAAGTAGGAGGCAGGAGGAAATAGGAAAGAGAAGCAACGAGGGCAGGCACAGGAGAGGGAGGAAGAGGAAGAGGAGCAGGAGGAAGAGGTGAGACGCGGTTGAGGAGAATGAGGAGGAGCAGGAGGAGGCGTGGAAGTGGTGGGCTGACTTCTCGCCTTCGTCCGCATCTGTCTCGTCCTCCGCCCCCTCGTCGCCGACGCCCTCCTCATTCCCCTGTGGCTGCGTTCTCGTCTTGTCCGTCTTCGCCTCCCCCCCATCACTTCCGCCTCACCTGCTGCCACTCGTCCGCTGTATACGTACTATTTCCCCAGGCCTCATTTCGGGGACGCATCAAGGTAGTGGAAGCCCATGCCAAGAAACACCCTGCTTGCCGCCAGGGTGCCTTATGGTTTTGAAAGAAAGCGTGACGCCCCCACACCAACTATCAATGGCTGCCTTGGTGTCTCAGGGTTGGTTTCTTGTAGAAGGTTGTTTGTGGTCGAGCTCCTACTGCATATTCTTGCGCACCGACGCGCCAGCTATTTCGGCCGGAGAGTGCCTCCTGGGCACCCGTCTCGGGGTGCGGTCTGGCGTACATGCATCCGTGGCCACGAGGAGCCTCCAGAGGCCCCAACGGGCAGGAATCTGTCCACACGCTTACCTCTGAAGGTTTTTTGATTTGACCCTCCCCCTTTTCACTCGGCGGTGAATAGGACTGGTCCCAAAACCTCCTCCTCCTCCTCCTCCTCCTCCTCCTCCCTCTCACCCTTCTCCTCCTCATCCTCCATTCCTTTATTCTCTCCTTATACATAGTTGCTTCCTGCCGCACCCCGAGGCATGTTTTTCGGGCGAGGCGGGCGTTTCGCTGGAGACTTCCTCACAATCAATGACCCTGAAGCTTAACTAGTGGCAAGAGTTTCACGGAGTGAGGGCGGGTCGTTTTCAACATGTGGTTCTCGCGTCAGCGCCGCGCACCTTCGTTTAACACAAGTTGCAAGAATTTCACGCATTGAGGGTGGGTCATTTTCAAAATGTGGTTATCGCCTTAGCGCCGCGCACATTCGTTTAACACAAATTGAAAGAGTTTCACGGATTGAGGGTGGGTCGTTTTCAAAATGTGGTTATCGCCTTAGCGCCGCGCACATTCGTTTAACACAAATTGCAAGAGTGTGACGGATTGAGGGCGGTTTCGTTTTCAAAGTGTGGTTCTCGCCTTAGTTCCGCGAACATTCGTTGTAAAATGGTGCAATGGGGTTCACGGATTGAGGGCGGTTCTTTTTCAAAATGTGGTTCTCGTCTTAGCGCCGCGCGCATCCGTTGCAATTGTTTTGCACGAGCTTCATGGATTGAGGGCGGTTTTTCAAAATGTGATTCTTGCCTTAGCGCCGCGCGCATTCGTTTAACTTACAGAATTGTTCTGGATTCCCATGGTCCAGGGCGAGATGGACGAGCAGGCCGCTCGTCCATCTCGCTCGCCTTCGGTCAGGAGCTGGCCACGTGGGCCGCCTGGCCTGTCGCCTTAACCCGCCTTGGCGGAGTCCGAAGACCTTAGCCGTTCGATTCGGACGGTGCCAACTGTGCACCTGCACCGCTCCTGTCCAGGGTTTCCCTGGGCACAGGATCGGTTCATGTGCCTTCGTGGCCAGGCCTGGAGAGAGCACACCGCCCAGGATGGGCCCCGGTCAGGATCGGTGGCCAAATGTAGGGACCTGCTGTCCGCATGTCAGCCCTCGAGCTCTGCGGCCTGGGCCTGCCCAGGCGCCTGCGCGCCGTCGACGGGCCCCCCTCCGCGGCCGTTCGAACTCACCCGCACGCCCGCCCAGCTCACCTGCCGGCCGTCTGTGCTCGTTGGGGCGGAGGTCGCTGTCGTCGTCGTCGTCGTCGTCGTCGTCGTCGTCGTCGTCGTCGGCTGTGCCGTCGGCGGCCGCGTTGGCGTCGCCACCGCCGCCGTCGGCTGCGCCGTCGGCGGCCGCGCCGACGGCGTCGTCGCAGCCGTGGCCGAGATATGGAGCGGCGTTCGAGGTTCGGCTCCTGGGGGCCTTCTCAGAATGCGGCCGGCGGGGCTGACCACTGCCCCCCTGGGCGCGCCGCCGATCCAGAGGCCCATGCCGAAGATCTCAGGAGACCCCCCGAAGGCCAACGTCGCCGCTCGTCGTCGCCGTCGAGGTCGTCGTGGTCGCTGCCGTCGTGGCCGCAGATGGCGGCGGCGGTCGTCCTCGTGGACGGCGCCGCTGCCGCCCGCCTGGTCTGGGCGCGCACGGGGGGGGTGCGGAGGCGGTCGAGCGGGCGGAGAGCGAGCTCCCGCACAGCTGGGGGGACAGCGCGCTGACCATGGCGATGCACAAGCGCAGGCCGCCGGGAAGCTCTCTGTACCAGCCTGGAGCCGGCTGGGGGTCTCATGTGGCCCAGCACTTGTTCTGACCAGCAAGAAGGAGGGGCAGGTTCGAGGTTCTGGGTTCGAGAAGGTTGCTGTTTTGCTTTTGTTCTGTCTCCCTGAGCCGTTTCTGGTCCCCGGGACCGTCAGAAACATATTCGGAATGACAAACTGCACCAGGTGGACGGACCCTGGTTCAGGGGACAGGTTTTGAGCGGATTTGATCAACCCCCTTTCTTGACCGATTTTCCCGGGGCCCACCCCCGGGGCCGCCTCGAAGTCCCTGCCCCGCTCGGCCGGCCCTGTTCTTGCTGACGCCGAGCTCGGCGATCAATTGTCAGCCGAGGGTGGAAAGGCGAGCCAGGAAATCGAGTCGGCGACAGGGAACTCTGGCCTCGAACGGGGAAATTATCCTCGGGCCAACGGCGTCTTGTGGGATGAACGGAGTAATTTTGCGAGGCTTTACCGGGATTTTTGTTTTCGGGCGAGCGAGGAATTCTTTCTGGGCGAGCGAAGCGTTTTCGTCCCGTGGATCTGGTTGAACAGGCGATGACTTGCATTGGTGGTTGTGACATTGCCTTCCGTGGGCGGGGTTTCCTATCATGCTTCGGACTTGCTGTCGTTGCAGGGCGTGTACTTCGCATCTGCTTTCGCTGTCTTGGAGCTCTCTGAAGGCGGCACTGCATCAGACTGCCTTCGGTGTCATTTGCCTGATTCTGGAATGTTGATCCTGGTGTGCGGCTGTTCGGCTGTCCCGCGCGGAAGTTAGCAAAAAAAGGCGGGCGGGTCCGTGGATTCCGTTTCCTACATCATCGTTGTTCTCATGTGTTTCTTTGTTTTGTATTTTCATGGTGGAAGCATTTGGGTCTGATTTCTCCCCTCCTCAGTCTCGTTCTTTGTCGTATGCCTTCGGTCTGTGATGGTTGCAGACGCCTTACGTTTCTTTGGCGGACGGGGGGCATTCCTTCCGCTTCCTCTCCTCCGCCTCACTCCCTCCATCCCTCCCTCCCTCGCTGCTTCCATCTCCCTCCTCTCCTTCAACCTCATCCCTTCCCCCCCTCCCTCCTCCCTCCTTTCTTCCCCTCCCTCGCACTCTCGCCGCCGTCCCCTCCCATCCCTCGCCCCTCGCCCCCCCCGCCCTCTGCCACTCCCCCGTCGCCCTCGCCTGCGTCCTCGCCGCCGCCCCTCCGCCCGCCACGCCCGCGACTGCGGCCCCCCTCAGGCTGAGGGTGGAGTGAGGCGGGCGCCTCCCGCGCAACTGTCCGCGCCGGCGCCCCCTCCGGCCCCCCCCCGGCGTGGCGGCTGGCGGGGCCCGCGGGGGGGGAGGGGGGACATGCGCGGGAGAGGTGTGCCCAGGCCTCCTCGCGCAATGAGAGGCGCACGACGGGGAGGGGGGGGGGCTTTTTGCCTCGGGGTGGCTCTCTGCCGTGCCACTGGGGCGGCTGAAAGAAGCAGATTTCCGGGATGAAGAGCCGGCCCCTGGGAAAGGTTCAAAATTTGCTGGGTGTCGGCTGCACATGGGAGTGACTCTTCGTCGGAGTAACCGTGGGTGCGCGGTTTTGGGGGGGGACGCGGGGGGTGGGGGGGGGCGGCACATCCAAGCTCCAAGCACTCAGGCCGCTGGCATGCAACGATCGGCAAGCCGCGCACCAGAGGTCACCCTGTCTAGGTTGTACGGGGAGAGGGGGGAGGATGGAGGGATTGGAGGGGCGAGCTGGGCGAGGGGGAGGGAAGGGTGGAGGGGGAGAGACGGAGTTGCGGGGGAGAAGAGGGGCGAAATGGGCGAAATGGGCGAGGAAGGATGGGAGGAACGAGATGAGTGGAGGGGGAGGAGGGCGGAGTTGATGGAGGGAGAGGACCTGAGTGGAAAAGAGGCAGGGAGATCGGCAGGGATCGGATCGGCAAGCAATGGCGGGGATGGGGGGGGGAAATGAGAAGGAGAAGGCCTTCTCAGAAGGCAGCGGGACTTCTCAGAAGCCCCTCGCGCCTTCTGTGAAGTTTTCGATGTCTTCGACGACGACTTGGAAAACTTCTCAGAAGGCTGGGGGACTTCCGAGCCTTCTGAGAAGGCCCATCCCTTCTCATTTCCCCCCTGTGCTCGCAGCCGAGTTCTGATCTTCCAGAGGGACCTTGGGGGACCTCAGGCTAGGGGAGGCCTTGCAAGGTGCTGCAGTGTGCGGGGCTACGTGCGGTACGCGCTGCGTATATGCGATGCTTCGCTGCGGCATTCTGGCTTGGTCGCCACAGCCAGCGGCCTCGCACGATTTCCATAGAAACGGAGCGATTTCCCGAGGCCCTCCTGAAAGCCATGTCGTCGAGCTCCCCCTGCCCCTTTCCTGCCCATCTCGCTCTGTCCCTCTCTCCTGGCCTCCCCTCGCTCGCTCCCTCTCTCGCTCTGTCCCTCTCGCTCTGTCCCTCTCTCTCGCCCTCCCATCGTTCTCCATCCTGGCCTCCCCTCGCTCGCTCCCTCTCTCTCTCTATAGCCCTGGCCCAATCCCCTTCAGGACAGAGCGCGGCCACAGATGCAGACCCCCCAGCGGTCCTTCCAAATCCGCATGGGCAGGCTGGTCATGACCCCCCCAGGACGTTACCGATTTGCACCACCCGTTCCCCCCCCTCTCGCGCCGCCATGCCTGCGCCGCCGCTCCGGCTTCGGCCAGATCGATGACCACGGTGTGGCCTACCACTTCGGCGTCCCGACGTGCCCGTTTCCAGAGGGCGGCTGCCGCCCTCTGCCGTGGCTACCACGTCAGCGCTTCATGTTCAACGAGTCCATCACGAGGCCTATGCACTGCGAGTTCGCGTTCTAGACGACCAGGGTTTTCCCGATCCACCCGTGCACTATCCTCCGTCCGGCCGATCTACACAACAGGTTTCCAGTGCACGAGCACTACGAGTCGATCTTCACGACGTTCGCGACACTCTTCACGCTCTTCGCACTGGGCTCCTACTCCCCTCCCAGCTGGTCAGGGTGACCCTTATCATCTTCGTGGTGTTTCCCATGGAGACCTTCAGGATCAGCGTGGCGGCATCCGTGGCGCCTCAATTTCCGTCCGCCGTCACGCACCAGGCGAAAACTGCAGCCAGGTCCCATGCGCCCGACCATCGCGACCCTCTCGGCGAGCGCCCGCCGGCTGCCACTGGAACTGCTCGTGGCCACAAGGGCGCATTGCAGTTAATGGTGGCCCTCCCGCTGAGAGTCCGTCGACTACCACTGGCGTCCGCCAGCGGGGCCACCAAGCCCACGCGGCAGCCGACCCTCCCGCCGCCAATCGGGACCTTCGTGCCGAAAGTCCACCGACCGCCACTGGAGCTGTTCAGGATGGCCACGAGGCCGAAACGCCAGGCAGTCCCCGTGTTGTCCCCATGTCGTAGTCCATCGTGGCCCTCCTGCGCATCCGCTGACTCCTATGAACATCAGCCACGGGGCTCACAAGACCCATGCTGCAGCCGATCATCCTTTCGTAGCTGCTTCTTGTGACTCCTCCTTCGAGTGGCCTTCCGACTACCACCAAAGACTCCACGACGGGATGCCAAGCCCACGTTGCAGCCTGCCTTCCTGCAGTAGTTCATCGCGGCCCTCATTTCGAGCGTCCGCCGACTCATCAGAGCCCACTACGTCCGACGACCGTCTCCCAACCGTCCGAAGCCTTGTTCGACAACGCCGACCCGACCGACATCCGCGCATCGGCCGCCCGCCCGCCGTCCGACTCCCAACGACGTCCGCCCGCCGACCTTCGACAATTGTCGGCCAACCGAACACGTCCCGACCGCTGACCGCCCGACGCCTGACGACAACGTCCGATGGCCGTCCGCTACCGACCGACAGACGGTCACCCCCACGCGGCGAAAACCGCCATTGATTTTTTCACCAACGCAGGAGGAGCCCAGTGGCAGAATGCGGAGACGACACGACCGACAGACCGATGGACGACAGACGGGGACGACGGAGGCGCGGGGGAGGCAGAAGGGCGGGGGAAGGGGGGAGAGGGAAGCGCCCGCGCACGCCCCTCGCGCGCGCGCGTTCAGTCGCGCGGCGCTCGGACGGGGGGCGCAGTGCTGGCGCGCTCGGCCCCCGCTGCGGACGGGCGCGCCAGCGCCAGCCCCCGCGCGGTTGCCCAGTCGCCCGCGTCCAGGCGGGCGCGGACCGCCCCGAGCAGCTCCTCGCGGGCGAGCTCCAGGGCGACCTCGTCGCCCCTGCTGGGCCAGGCGCCACGGCCGGTCCCTTGGGCCAGGCTGGCGCCAGCTTCAGCTCGCAAGCCGCTGCGTGCCCGTCGTCGGCGCCGTCCTCGGCGTTGGCCCAGAGCTCTGGTTGCCGCGCGGGTGCCCCCTCCGCCAGCGGCGCACCGCGCTGCCGCGGCGAGGTCGCCAGCGCGGTCGGGGCCTACGGGGCCGAGCCCGCCCGGGGGAGGGCCCGCGGCGTGGAACAGGGCGAAGGCGCCGAGACGGCCGCCCAGTCGCACGTGTATACTGCCTGGATACCGTGCTCGCCGGCGTCCAGCGCCACCAGCGGCACCGGCAGCATTCCGCGGCCATGCTCCGTCGCTCCGCAGGATCCCGCAGGTGCCGGCGCCCGCCATGGCCGTGTCTGTCGTCCCTTGGTGTCCTCCGCCCCGCTGGTGGGGTGCCGGTGGCAGTTAGGTTTTCTTTTGGCGTTGGAAAAGGCCGGCGTTCTGCGCCGCGCTCATGCAAAACCCCGGACGACTTCCGCGGAGCGGCTCCGGCTCCTGCGAAGGCTTCTGCGGGCCCAGCGCCATTACAGGCGCAAGCGGCGCCCAATAGTTGGCGCCCGGGGGCTGCGCGCCCGACGATTTGGAGCCGGCTCGCGGGGGCCTCCCCCGCGCCGCAGTCGCGGCTTGCTCGTTGGCGGAGCCGCAGGGGCCCTCGAGCTCGGCGAACTCACGAACTCCTCCTCTGCGGAGGAGTCTGCGGCCGCCGCGCGCCGCTCGCAGTCCGCGGGGGGCGGGCCTGCCGGTAGCAGCTGCGGCGCGGCCAGCTTGCTCGCCCTTGGATCCGAGGGGTCCCTGGAGACCCTCCCCAACTAAACCTAATCAACATACAGATTGCAGCCGCCTCGGGCCGTCTCCGCCTCTCCGGCCACACGCTGCACTTGCTCCGTAAACTTCAGTTCCCCTCGTTGCTTGCTTACTCGCCGACTTCTGGAGTACACTTTCGGGTCCACTACCGTGCATTCCTGAGTGGCTCCCCGACCAGGGGCACCACCACGGTCCCCCAGACGCGGACCTCGCCCGCGTACGTACGGTGGCCTTACAGCTGGACTTGGGCCCCACTGCGCGCGTCTCCCCCACGGTTCGTGCTGCGCCGTTCCGAGGGTCGCGCGGAAACACCCTCGGCAGCCACCAGGCCCGCGGCTCGCGTGCACCGAACGCCACTCGCCGAGGAGGACACCGACGATCATCCTAGCTACATCATCTCTCAACACACCCCGCCCTGGTGTAACCCGTGCACGCGGCGGAAGCTCGTGACCACCCGAGTTGCACCCCTAGCGCTGCGATCCTGGCTGCGGCGCCACCGCCAACAGTCTCCCACGCTTTGCCGCGACCAGACATGACCAGACACGTCAGGCATCGCCCTGCCCCACCCAGCAGCGCCCCAATCCGACCAAAAACGCCCTGCCGCGCCCATCCGCTCCTACCACGACCTTGCGGATGCCAATACCGCCCCCGCCGAGGCCACCAGGTTCGGTGACATTGGGACGACGACGACGTCCCACGACTATAACGATCTGCCGCTGACCGTTTGACCACCGTCCGACGACAGACGACGACCGTCCGCCGCCTGTCCGATGTCTGTCCGCCGACTGTCAGAAAACACGTCGAGACCTGCCGCCGACGTCCGCCGACCGCGCGACGACCGACCGACGCACGCGCCCGACGACCAGGCAGCCATTGCCCGACGCCCCCCCGCCGTGGCTCTCTGCGACTCTCCCTCTGATGCTGTCCCATCGCTCCACCGTCATGTCCACCGTCCACCGTGTCTGTCATGTCTGCTCATCCTGCTGCCTCAAACGGGCGCGCGCCACCATTCGCATTGCCCACTCGCCGCCTGAGTCACTCGTCGGACCACCTCCAGTGCCGTCCTCGCCTTTTGAACCCTCCAACCCACGGCCTGGGTTGTGGGTCTGAGGCCTCTTGGATGTTCTTTGGGATCTCGTCGAGGCCCTTTGGGGGGCCTCCCGGAGGCGGTTTTCAGGCCTTTGTTGGGCTGTTCTGGGGCCTCTTGTGGCCTGTCTTGGGCCTCTTGGGGGCCTTGGGGCCTCTTTGGGCTCGCCTTTTCGCGCTGGTGGGCGCCACCGGGAGGCCTGCAGTGGTGGATGCGTGCCTTCTCCCGGGTCGGGCGAAGAGCGGAGGCAGCAAGAGGGGGTCAGA